TCACTGTCACTTTAGCAATCATATTATTATATGTTTCTAGGACAGACATGTAAGACTAGAAAAGAGATTCATGTATGTGTATATATTTCTGAAATGTAAGTGCTAGCAGGCCTTGCTAAGCGTTCATGTGGAAGTTTCTGTGCCTGTAGTAGGGGGCAGTAGAGAAAATGTGCCTTCAGCTGGCAAGAATACAGTCTTCAAAAGTGCTGATGCAGGTGGGTCTGTGTGAAGGAATCAAGTTCCAGAGAGCAGTGATCAAGCACAAGTCCCAGTTCACCTCTGCTCCTCATGGTATAGGTGTTAAAATGAAACCAAAGAGTGGGGCAGATATCTGCGGCAGGAAACACCTTAATCTACCACTTCTGTTTGCTTCAGAGCACTTCAGTCACAGTCTGAAGTCTGGTCTTTTGATACCACAGGAATTTATGCCTCCAGTAAGTAGAAATGGATATCTGCTTCATAACTGCTAGATGCGAAAAGGGATTTTTGGCATGATTAACTACATAACACTTCCCTGGTAGGTAATTTCATTGAAAGATTCATGCACAAAGTAGCTAAGCATTTGTATGTTGTATAACATTTATTTGGCAGCCTCTTGATATGCCTCCTCAGCCCAGCTGGAAGAGCAGACATACAGCTGGGCCCCAGGAACGGGCAACGATGAGTGCTGGTGAGTATCATGGACCAGAGCTGGTTTGCAGAACTGACAGTCCTGCAACCCCTCCTTCCCCGCCTGCTCACAATTAGAAGCAGCAGAGTATCATCCACCACCCGCAGGAGCAGGGCTTCAGCACTTGTCACCACAATAGATATCCAAGGGGTAGTGATGGGACAAATGGGAGTGCTAGCAAATTCCTTAATCAATGAATTATTGCTGGTAACACATAAGCCAGGAATCCTCCAGCTTCTGCATGTTTGCTGACAACTTAGCATTCATTCAGCTCCTGCTTAGCCTTGGCTGTTCTCCCACCTGCTCCACCCATAGCTAACAAGTTTCATGCAGCTTTAAAGCCTAATCCCACTAATGTATGAGTCAGGGTGCTGCTTAGTAAAAGAAAGGTGTGCAGTCATATAGGCACTTATAGGTATAACTGAGTGGTGGGACCACTCTGAAAAGAGAAATAGTTGTAAAGCTTATTGGGCTTGTTGTTGTTGTTTTATTGGGAGGTTCCTTCCCAAACCAAATTCAACATGAATAATCAAATAACTCAGCAGAAGTAATGAGATCTCAAATGATCAATAATTATAGTGTTTTGTAGTTTCCCAGGACCATCTTAGTCTTAAGAAAAGCGCTAACAGCGCTGTAAACTTACTAAAATACTGAGTTATGAAACTAGAGACCAGGACACTACTACCCTTTCTGTTTCAGGCAAGCTAACCAACATATGAGAAAAGTAACAAGTTTCCTTACTAAGTGCCTATCAAAAAAGCCAACTGTAAGCCAGAACATTTACTGTTAAAATTATGAGCCCATGAAAATTTAAGTTTATATGAACAAAGTTTTTACAGACCCGGAATAACGGCATCTATCATTTTAGTGCTACTCTAAATTAAGATAGTGCTGATGGGCATAGTTTTCCATTCCTAATACAAGACACAACACCATGTGTCTTTAATATAAAGCTATACTGTTGGCTTATTCTTACATTTCATATTCATTTCTAAGTCATTATCAAAGAAATGAGTGAATACAAATGTAGTGAAAATGTCAACAATACAATACAGTAATCAGTCATTTAACATGATCTATCTCTTATTTGAAGGACTAAAAAGAATGAAAAGTTTTCAGTATTAATGGTTTCAGTTAATCCTCTATCCAAACATTTTCCTCAATAAACATCAGATTATTTTTATGTTGGCTATAAAGCTGTCACCCCTCAATAAACAGATATACTCCTGGTGGTTTTACCTCTGCTGTCAAAGATCTGTCAATACATGCAGCATCTCGTAAGTGAAACCAGAGAAATGCAGAGGAAAGGCTCCTAGTGAATATAGCTGAGCAGAGGTTGCTCAGAGAGGATTCATGGAGCTGTTGTCCAGCTTTCCTTCAGTGAGTCTCAATTAAATTTTATGTTTTGTGGCCCCCATTTTCTTGTAAGACAAGAAAAGAGTTTCAAGGGATGGATCCCCATGGAGGAGATTTACTTCCATTCAAAGAGCTCACCAAAGTTTAGCAGCTGCGGGAAGAGAGCTTCTGTAGGGTTTTTTTTGTTTGTTTGTTTGTTTCCCTGTATTTTTTTCTTTAAGAAATTTCTAATGTTTTGTGGAAAAAAAAAAAAAAAAAAGGAATCCAGAATCTTTGGAAAGGACACTATTTCACTAGTGGTTGGACTGGAAACATTTTCTCTGCCCTTTTCATTACAACACGGAGGAAATCATAGCGATGGTTAAAGAAATCCTGGCCACCAGAAATGAAAATATGAGTTTGTTACTCTGATAAAAATTATGAAGTGGCAGTTATTATGGAACTGACATGGGGCATCATTTCATCTGATCCAGATTTACACACTCAAATCTGGATACCTCACGTGTTGTTTTATGTTTGCTTGATATCTGAATATGAACCCCTTTCTGGTGCTCTCTTCTGTATAATTTAGTGGCTGGACAAGGAGAGGATATTTGGGTTTAAGGTTTTCACTAACTTAAAGATTTAAACTAATCTCTCTCATTTCCCTTGAAGTGTCACAATCACCAAGCTTCAGAATCTGGACAATTTGCACAGGTGGGAATAATGGACTCGAGGATTCAGACAAGTATGTTAGGATTAGTTGATTACTTTTGTTTTTTGTTAGCCAGTTTTAAGACTATATTGTATCTGAGATCTCCTATTTTTTGCCTTGTGCTGACTACTGATAACTAATTTTATGTAACTTTCTGTCTCTAACTTTCTGGACAAAAGTAGCTGCTCAGAAGAATTTGCCTATTGTTTACATCAGTATAGTCTACATTGCAATTGGTAGGTAAAAATCTCCATTAGCTCTACCCTGATGGAAGTTGAGTGCAAGCCCCTGCTCAGTTGCTATTTAAATCTATAATAATTTCATGTAATTATCTTTCATTCCTGGTTAAAGTTTCAAGTGTTGATACTCATAAATTTATTTAAAAAAATTCTAGCTTTGTTCAAGTATTGAGGCATAAGCATTCCACAGAAAAAAAGCCCACAGCATTCATCTTTCCTCTCTAAAGCTCATTCACAGATGATTACTGTACTAAGACCCTTCAACATTTCTCCATAGTCAAAAAGTTAATGTGTGTTATGTAGCATACTGACACATCACACTGACCACTGGGAAAGTAAAAACAAAATCAAATCCATTGAATGGACATAGCTATATCTCTGAGAAGCATTTGGGAGGCAGAACATATATATAAAAAAAGAAAGATAAAGCATTTATTTCCTTTCCCCCAAAAATTAATAATAAGGCAATTATGTCTTACATGGTACATTGAAACTTGCAGCATCTCACTAGTATTTTATGCATGTGGGTTTTACAAATATTTAATTACACAATATAATCATGAAGGCAATAAAGCAAGATCCTAAATAAATTATTTTGGAAGCAGTCCCTTGATTTAGACTCTTTCTCCAGACACGTCTCCCTATCGCTAATTTTACATTTTGAGACTTGTCAATAATATAAGAAATAATAGTGAGTTTGACTTAATGCTCACTGTTTTAATTTTGAATCTATTTCTGAAAAAAAAATAATTAGATTGACATGAAAATAAATATTACTACTTTTCTATAGAGAAAACATTTAAAAAAAATCTTTCTAGAAGGAGTACTCAATTTAGAAAACCCCAGAAGCCACAGATTATAATTTTTGTGATCCTTGTAGCTTTGGGACTTTTCAGCACCTCATAGGTATAATGCATAGCATTAGTGTTTCATCAGAAATAAATCTACCACTGATAAGGGCAAATGTGACAATTCCTCCCCCCCCTTAACACCTTAGAGAAACATCTCTACATCTCTCCTTAGCAATTCAAATCTAATTCTATATCTATGTATGCATGTAATGTAATTTAGCTAATTATCACTACAAGAAAAAAAATGGATCTAGTTCTTCATTTTCACTGCTACTTTTGCCTCTGCTTTTCCAGTGCAACTTCTGGACACAAGAAATCTGTGCCCTGCTGCACTTATGCTGCCTCCACATATGGTATCTATAGTGTTCTTTATGAGCACAACTCCATTTTGATCGATATATGGACAAAAAAAAGGTTGCAATTATGTTTGCAAAGTTCTTACGGAAAGTCTACCAGCTACTCAAAACTGGGATTGACTAATTAGAGCCACCTTGATTAAAGGCTAGCTCCTGAAGAGCTCCTGTGGATAACAGGCTTAACTAAGCATGTGATCAGTCCCATTACATTCACTGGCTTTAACAGGACTGCCATAAAATTAAGCATGTATTTAAATGCCGCTGGATCAGAGCCCACATCCCTCAGAGGAGCTGTGGCTCAGGGAGCAGTGGTACCTTCTGAAGCCAGTTCGATTCAGGTGACTAAGGCCCATAAATCCTCTTCTATATTCTGTCCGATTGAAAACTTGTGGAATTTTACTCACAGAGGTCTTGGAATCACTGCATACCACAGCTAACTGGGAATACCTGTTCATCAGAGCTTGGAAACAAGCACTTCACTCAACTGAAGCTCAGGCAGAGCTAGTTCAGAAAACCAGGAAAACAGGATATAAGAGCCTAGACACTGAAATGCACTGCTGTGGCTTTCCAGCTCCAGCACTGAAGCAGTTTACTCAAGTATCTCTGCACAGCTGTTCATCACAGTCTTTAAACATATCCTACTGGCAAAATTTGGGATTGAGAGTATAAGCAATGGTAGGGCTTTTTACGTTATGATCATTATGTAAGACTAAATGCTGGCTGAATTCTGGCAGTTGCATAAAGAGTGGAATATAAAGAGGATCTAATGTCTGGAAAATGGGTGATTAAAAAAGGTCACATAAAATTGACAATTTTAAAAACATATTCTCTTACCCTTCTCTCTGGAAAATAGTCCTGAAACAGTCCCCCAGGTTCTTGTAACTGGTAGGATCAGTTTTCCCTCTTTGAATTTGGAACCTAAAAAAAATACAATTTACATCACAGCATGAGAAGTTAGGGATTTTAAGTCACTTTTAACTTTCCAATTATTATATAAAAGGAGTTTTAAAGGTCTTTTTACATATCTGATTCATTATTATATACTGTTCCTGATATACTTATTAACACTGTTTTCATAGAAGCTGTTAAACTAAGGAAAAATAGAGCTTTAGTAGTAACTTTTTTTGTAGTTTATGGAACTCGCAGTATAACTATCACCTTTGACATTTACACCTCTTTCTAGTTGTTTGAAAAATAAGCTGTTAACCCTGTGCCTGATCCAAAGCCCACTGAAACTAATGGGAGCCTTTGAATCAAACCCTGTTTTTGAAAATCTGAAATGGAACACTGTCGTGTGAATCCACTGTGCAGTTTCCTTTTTTTTATATCTGATGCAGTTACAATAAAAATCAATCCGAGAAATGCCCATTTTTAGCAATTTATGAAGAAGACAAATAATAAAACAAAGCAAGGGATTATTTTAATTAAAACTGTTTTCTCCATTCATATTTTGACAATAAAAATTTCAACAGAAAGGCATGGAAGGAAAAATCAAGCTTTTGATTGACTGTTGTAAACGTATTTTTATTTACAATTTTTGAATAGCAACAATAAGAGTAACAAATATATTTGTAGTATATTATTTTACTCAGTATCCCAGTTAGATTATCCAACTTCTTGCAGTTTTAAAACTGCAGACAAAACATTCAGTGAAATAGTATGGATAAAATTTGAATACATCTTTTGCAGTAAAATGTCTTTTATAACTGTTGAGATTACTACATAGAATTCAAACCAACCAACCAACAAAGCAAACACCGATATAATCAATTCCAGTCTGCAAGAGCCTTCTATCAGGCAATTGGTAAATTGGCTTTATCACTATAATAAGAATTCTAATCAGCAAATGTTTTCTACGTATATACATTTATTTTTGAAAAAGTAATAACCATTGCTCTTAGAAACATTTATTGTTAATTATTATCACACTAGCTCTCATTAAAATACAGAGGTATGAAGATATTTTTAACTCAGTGTTAAAGCAGTGTTTTCTTTCTCACCAGAATTGAGTAGGATCAAATCAATGCTTATACTGGGACAAAAGACATTTATTCTTTTTAACATCAGTATTTCCTAAGCTGTGTTCTGTGCTAACCCATCTAAAGTTTTATTCACTTTGAGGAAAAAAAAATCCAATGATGTAATACAATTCTTTGGGTAGTTATGAAAGCAAGCCCGCACCTTTTTTGAAAACAGTCAGAAGGAAACACGGAGCCCCTCCGTAGCCCTAATAAAAGTAGTTCAGGCACATCTGGGATCTCTATCTGGGGTAACCTCTTTTATTAGCAGGAGAATGTGCTGCCAAGTTGGCAGAGAGGAGAATGCTATTCAATAGGCTTACGCTCAAATAAGAGCTGATGCATAACATTTTGTCTGAAAAGAACTCTGGGGAAGGCTAATAGTTGAAAATTACTCAGTGTCATTGCACCGAGTCCAACAGTAATATCAGCTACAGAAGCTTTTACACTGCAGTAATCAAACAACTAACATCATCATTGAAAGTAGACTCTAATCAATTATGAATATATTTAGAACTTGATTATTTATACCTCTCATTTCAAAACCAAAAATGTCTTTATTTCAGGACATCTTGCAGAAATTCACCAGTAAATTAGTTGTTTTCATGTACACATTTCAAAAGGAAAGCTTCCTTAACCCAAAGCTTTTCTCAAGTTTCAAGATTTGGCTGACTTGTAAATTCAGAACAAAGCATTACTGTTTATAAAGCATCCTCAGAACAGCGTACCTTCCTTCTCTCTTGCTCTGCAAATGCTCAAGCTTATCCTTCCAGAACATATGCAAGCTTCCCAGTTATGTGTGCATGCACAAGTGCTTGTAGAATGGCAGCATTAATCACTTGCTGTGCACCTCAACAACACAGTGAAAGTATATTATATAATTTGGCTTTACAATTGTACTTTATCAATTTCTCAACAAAATTTAAAATGATTTCTTAAAAAAATACATCTTTGACAGCAATACTGAAAACATAACATAATATAGGAAAATACAAAAAATATAGGAAAAAAATAATATATAGGAAAAAAATAGAAAAAAATAGAAAAAAATAATATAGGAAACAAAATATAGGAAAAAAATAAAATAAGTAATTTCTTTGTTTCGGACGGAGAAACACAAGGTCTATTTCTCACTAAAAAGTTAAATAAAAGGGATTTGCATGTATTTTTATTTTCTTTCCTTTTGTTTTAAAGTAGATAAGAATTTAGTATTAAATGAGTCCATTTGTAACACTGAGTTGCATGAGTAACATATTCCCTCCTTTAGGGTTTTTGGATCCATTCCTTCCCTAGTAAATCTTTTTTATAGCTTTAACAGCAATCCTAAAATACATGCCAATTATGTGCTTCAACCTAGATCTGCGAATTGCATTCTTTGATTCAGAATTGTTTGCCTCAATAAAATCATGTGTAACTTCTTAATGAACTAGCTAATTGTTCACCAGCAGTTGTTATAAGAAGCTCAAGGAGGATTTGAAAAAATGTCTGTTAGTTTTTCTGGAGGCAGCAGCCTGTATTAGTAATCTTATTAATACAAAAGAGTGAAAACATTCACTTTAGAAAACAATCTGGCCTGTTTTTAATGATTATCTAGAGAAATGAATACAACCGGGGGATTCATAATGGCTTTCTCTGCTTCATATCCATTTCTTTCTAAAATCCTTTGGATTTCATGCATTTTTTGAAAACTGGATGCCTGCCTTGCAAGATACCAGCTTTGCTAGAACAAAAATGATAAACTAATATATAATCAGAGCACTAACTTCTGATCTAAGTTATTATTTTGATGTCTGAAAGGCACTATGTGCAGTCATTGATCAGTGATGTGCTGAACAGATGGCGAGGCAGACTGCTTACTGCTACCACCAGCATCACAAGTCACTGTATGTCTATACTGAGAGCATTCTCACCCTAAAAACTACCATTAGACAGCCTTCCTTCCCTCTCCTTCTTCTCTTTTTAGGCTGTCCAGTGAGGTCCCACCTTGGCATAGCTGGCAGAGCCATGGGAATGTGTTAGGTCCCAGGTAACTTCCTCCTACCTGGACTTGCTGCCAGTGCCCAGGCTTCACCTCACTGTTCCCATCTCTGGTCCCTCAGGCCCCGGGGGACCTCACAGTCTCCTGAGTCACAGCAACAGTCTTGGGACTTGGTCTTTTATGCCCTCAAGTCTGAACACCACCTTTGTGGTAACTGTGTTTGATACTGAAGTGTCTTGATACTGTTTTGAAAGAGAACATCAATGTCCTTCCCTGCTTCCCCCAGAAGAGATGTGGTTGGGATTAAAAAGTGAAAATCACGTGAACTCATCTGAAGTCTTGGGCCTGCTCAAAATGCAGTGTATGCATTGAGAACTATGATCAAAAACCCTGAAGATATTTTAGCTTATCTACATTAGTCAGCACTCTCCCTACCAGTTGTGTTGCTTGACTCCTTTCACCAGTTCTCTGAGTAACCTGGCCTTTAACAGTAGGTAGTGCATATTGTGAAACGACTCCTCTCTACACAAACACATGTATCTGTTTCCAATGCCTAATTTACAGCTCTTGTTGGCTTTATAATGGCCAGTATTTTATTCCAAGTTTTAGAAAATCCTCGTTCCATAGGATGCTTTCCTACAAAAGTTTAAAAGTTGTTTTAAATGTAGCATTCCTGCAAAAGCATTGTATTGCTAAAGTCCCTGAAGTCTTTTCTGACACAATCTGTATCTACAAGAGGAGATGTGTATTCCTTCTGGAAAACAAATAAATAAATAAATACCTATACACATTTCTCTCTCCCTCTGTCACTCAATGAATTTTTTGTTCATGCTTGCTGAACATCTCATCAAAAACATGTTGTGGACTTTGCCACCAAATTATCTGTACGTGTAGCATTCAAACTTTGTTCATCACAATGTTACCTGGCAGTCCTCAACCTTCTATTTACTGCTCTGGGCTGCATAAAAGTTATAAATCCATGCTGAAATTTTCTGAGTGACACTAAAATCTAAAAGGAAATAACTGTTATTTTCATATCTATATTCAAGTGAGCTGCTAGTCCCAGCAACATAGAAGAATTACAGTGTGATATGTAGCAGACTCACTGAATTCTGTGATATGGACCAGACTCACCACTGTGATTACAAAGCCCATCCTCATTCATAAATCCTAAAATTTCTTGATGCTTGTATACAGCGCTGCTCACAAGTTTCTCAACCACGAAGTTCGGGGGAAAGAAAAACATTTATTCAGAGAAGCAGACTTTATATCACATCACAGTGCTTGCCAACGAGTGGCAGACTTAGCTGTATTTTCCCCTCTCTTTACATCTTGTTAGGATTTTATCGTATGCTCTACTCTATTTTGAATAAAGCTCCTAATGTTTTTCTCTCATGATTGAGACCAAAGCAAATAATCTCACTTACTGAGCTGTTCAGCTGATATAAAGAAGAGAGTCATGTGGCATAACAACAAAACAAATTAAATGATCTGTGCGATGTTAAATTTAAAACAAATTTTAAACAAATGTATAGCATTCTGAAAGCTGAAAACATTTACAGTTTTCCAGCACTTTCAGTAATACCCATGATTCCAGATACACTCTGTAGTTATTCCTAGTACAATAAATTGATCAAGAATGTATAGCCTGAAGCTCTATATAAATATACATCATTTAATAGTTCACATCTATAATAAAAATAACTGCATCATAATTTAAAAACATTTCCCTATGCTAACTTAAACATTTATTCAGGTGCTACTACTGGTTAGAGCTATCTACAGATGCTTAGATTTCATGCAAAACCTTGCACTACAAAATGGACCTTGATAATATATTTTATTTTGTTTTTCTGGCTCAGGTTCTTTGCATTGCATATGTTACTTACAGGATAATAACTAAATTGAGAGTATAATTCAGA